TTCTTGGATATTGAAGGGGCCTTCAATAACACCCCACATGAAGTTGTATGTGCTGAGGCGGCAAGGCTGGGCGTTCCGGTGAAACTGGTGAAGTGGATCCAAGGAATGCTTGGACGTCAAGTAACGCCATCACTAGGAACGGTGAGTGTTGAAGGATGGGTGGAGAGGGGTTGCCCCCAAGGGGGGGTCCTCTCGCCACTCCTATGGTGCTTGGTAGCGGACAGGCTGCTTGAAGAGCTTAATGATAAGGGCTTCAAGGCTATCGGATATGCTGATGATTTGGCGATCCTGATAGGAGACCCTTTCCTGGAAACGCTCCTTGAGCTCACACAAGGGGCTCTGGGGATAGTGGAAGAATGGTGTAAGAGGACGGGTCTATCGGTTAATCCGATTAAGACAAGTCTGGTAATCTTCACCCACAAATATAAAATGGGCTCCGTAGAGGGGCCTGTTTTAGAAGGGGTCAGACTGACTCCTGAGACGTCAGTCAAGTATCTAGGAGTTATCTTGGATAAAAGACTGAATTGGAAGTTGCACCTAGAGGCGGTGTGTAGGAAGGCTTGCACTTATTTCTGGATGTGCAGAAGAACCTTTGGGCAAACCTGGGGACTTCAGCCGGACAGGGTGCTTTGGCTATACACGGCTGTGCTCCGGCCTAGACTGCTCTATGCTGCTGTGGTATGGTGGCCAAGAACACAGCTGGCGGAGGCTCGAGCAATGCTGGAACGCGTCAGGGCTCTTATTTTAAGAGGGGCTCTGGGAGCAATGAGAACAACGCCTGTGGCAGCAATGGGAGTGCTGCTCGGCATCGAACTACTCCACCTTGCGATAGTGGCGGCAGCAGTGGCCACGACGTATAGGTTGAAGTGTGAAGGCAAGTGGACGATCGGGGTGGGCCACACCCGGCTACCACGGGATATCCAGATGGAAACCGTGTTGGATATGAGGCAGGATAGGATGCCGAGAAAACGCGACTTTGATAGATCTTTCAAGATCTATCTTCCTAGTCGTGAGGAGTGGGAGAGGCACGAGGTGCTCGTTATCAGGAATGGGGACGTCTGGTACACGGATGGCTCCAAAACTGACGGGGGCGCCGGGGCCGGGGTCTTTGGAAGCCGTGGGGGCTTTAAGGAGGCTCTCTCCCTCGGAGAGTTCACCACGGTCTTTCAAGCGGAGGTGGTGGCAATCATGAGCTGTGCGCAACTGCTGATTGCATCTGGGCGGATGGGCAGGCGTATTAGGATCTGCTCAGACAGCAGAGCGGCTCTAGGGGCGCTGGGGGCGTGCGCCTTTGACTCGCGGCTGGTATGGGAGGATGCATTGAACAGGCTAGCCGCGGGCAATGACGTTGCTCTCGTGTGGGTCCCGGGGCACGCGGGAATCGAGGGAAACGAGGGCGCTGATGAGCTGGCAAGGAGCGGCTCTTCAGTTAGATTAGTGGGGCCGGAACCGGCCCTTGGACTGCCAGGCTGCAGGGCCAAGGCGAGAATAAGGGACTGGTTGCGCGACCGCCATATGAACTATTGGAAGGAAGAAACAAGGACCAAATGTCGGCAGGCAAGGGCCCTGTTGGGGGAAGTGCCCAGTAGGGACCTTGCTAAGAACATTAGGGCCTTAAGAAGAGGAGAAGCCAGGCTAGTGGTGCAGATCTACACGGGCCATGGCTTCACCAACTATCATTTGCACAAGCTGGGGCTTAGCGGCGACCCGAAGTGCAAAAAGTGTGGACATGAGGAAGAGACTACTCTCCACGTGTTGTGCGAATGTCAAGCGTATGCTGGATACAGGCGGCTTCTACTGGGCTCGATATTCCTCGAGCCCGAGCAGGTATGCCAACTTCAGGTCAGGGATCTCCTTCGCTTCTGGAGGAAGACTGGTTTGAGCTGACCTGGGGTTAGTACGGCTGGGAAGACACAATGGACTTGGTCTGCGTGTCGTTGGTGGGCCCCAATTAGGGACTGTATCCCAGGATACTATTATTATTATTATTATACATGTTTTGTACAGACAATACAGACAACATACATATGTTGTCAAGCTCATGATCATGGCTTCCATTCTTTATATGTTACCAAAAGGTCTTTACGTGTTTCACACTGTAAAGATTTTGACGCGCAATGTCAAAAAAATAGCTAACAAAGTAAATGTATACACATGTATAATACTAACCCAAGGATAGCTGCAGAGATCAGAATACTTAAGGCAATAACGAATGACGGATATTTCATCAGAATCGCACTAATCGTCCAATTAACAAACTCGATGAAATTTATGTTATTATTCTTAATTAAATATCACAAAATAATAAAGTTCATATACGCTAACTGATGAAAAATGTATATCATCCACCCGATTATTATTCGAATTATCCAATTACGTAGCCTTTGGTATTCCTTTGACGTTCCGAGAACTTCCAACGTGTGGTCTACTATAGCAAGTTCACGTAAACACGTTTTCAGTTCCTTTAAAAAAATCATATTGATCGATTATGCGGCACAAAGAAATCATTGTAATTTTATATTAGAGTAAAAACTGTTATTGCAATGTTTACAAGGAATGTGACAGATAAAGGGTTACATTATAATAATGTAAGCATTAAAATTGATCTGTTAAAAAAAACTTTTTCTTTTTATTTAATTTAGTTTATTGCAAAACGCTGTGGAAAAGATTACATGCTAACAGACCAATAAACATAATTATAAAATATGTTAAATATGACTGTAGTAGCTTGCAAATGCGGTTAGGCGTCAGCAAATCTGCTATTATAAAGCCTTATAGCAACAAAAAACCGCGAATAAGCAACGATACAATGAGTAGTGAAACGATAGTTAAAATCATATACATACTCACGTATACGCTCACGCAAGCATTTACATATACCAATTATGTCAGTCTCGTTTAAATACTGTGAGTGACGCGTTGAAACGCGAGGCAGCAGAACGAAAGCAAGACAAAGAGGGAGATGTTTTTATTAATACAGTAAGAGAATTACAATATTTGGCTGAAGTAAAAAAAAGCAGCACGGAACTTAGTGGAACGACGAATGGGAAGGATAAGTAATTTTGGTACCTGGTTACAAGGGGTTAAAAGTGAAATGAAGCTCAGAGTTCAATTGAAGGAGGCGTCGCAGATATAAGGGAGCATTGGAGCGTAGGAGAGGAAAAACTAGACAACATATGTGGAGAATAAAATGTTGCCACATTCTAAGTCAGTCGGATCTCTGGTAATACGGAGATATATGGTCGTATTTACTGACGCAATAAGAGAAGCTGAGGTAAGAAATTTGGATACGCTATACACGATGTAGGAGTTGTTGATTAAGAGCCGGAACGTAGACATCGGCCAAATCAAATAGCGAAATAACGCTTAAATGAGAAGTGAGGAGTTTCTGAGAGCAGTAAAGGATGTGGCGAAGGAAATAAAGAAGATGTAGACGGGCGTATGCAGCTCGTCACACTTGACGGTCACGTGTGACGAATATGAAGATTCAACATGGATACTAAGAATCTCAGTAGAGGTGGAGCGAGGAATTGGAACGGAATTAAGAAAAATATGGAAGGATTGAATACGAGATAATAATGTTGAGGAACCGAAAATAAGCAAGAATGATTTAGAGTTTAGAGCGATTTAGATGCAGCGAATTATTAGTAGAGACCATTCGGCAATAGATTATAACAGCGAAATTTAATTGGACATTAGGAGTCTGCGCTGGGTGCTATCTTGCACAAAAATTAATTGTGAATAACAAGTTAAATAACAAGTTTGTACGTTTTGATACGTTTTGAGCCAGCCTCAGCAGAGAATGAAGAACTAACAAAATAAAACAAAAATATATATTAAAAAACGATTTGTTCTTATGTAGTTATAATTTGCGTAAATACAATTATTTTTTAAAAATAGCAAAAAAGTAATGATTTTTCCGTTACTTTAAGTGACAATAACGATTTACTTTAGAATCGGTAACGAGTAAGTCCGTAAACACAATAGAGTAGTAAGCCTTAAGCCTTAAGTAATTGATCAATATCAGTTGAATGTGAGAAGAATAATCGGCTATTGGTTAATTCCTTAAGACTTAAAGCTTACTACTCTATTGTGTTTGCGGACTAAAGAGTAACGAATTACTTTTTACCGCATATAACAGTAACTGTAACGCGTTACTAAAAAACGGTAACTTTAACAACCTTGCAAAAAACCCACTTTCTAGGGCAGATTTTTGATCTCACAATACGATTTCACAAAAGAAGGGCATCATCGAAGTTTTTATTTCTCACATTCAGAATTTTACAAAAGAAATTTAAATTTTTTGATTAGAATTGTATTAGAAAATGACTATCCGTTGAAATTTATTTTTGAAACATTGTCTGATAGAATAAAAAAATTAATTGAAAAATCCAATTCTAATTACAATACTTCTACTAACAAGATTAAAAAAGAACAAATCACATGATTTACAATTCCTTTCATCAATGGAACATCTAATAAGTTCAGCAAATCTATTAATGGTCTGTCTTATAGGATTGCTTCATTATAGTATCAATAAATTTATTACAATACACAAAGATCCTTTGCAAAGATTTTCCAAAAGGAATGTGATTTACGAGATCGAACGCGATCGTGATTGCGATTCCTATGTAGGCCAAACGAGAAGAAAACTAAAAACTAGATTAGCAGAACACCGTAACCATATACGTAGATTTACATCCGCTCGTTCAGTTATCACAAAACATAGGTTGCAGTCATGACTTCGACTGAGGTAATGTGAGAATTCTGGATACTGAGAGAAATTGTAATAAACGAACAATGTCGGAGATACTCTACATAAATCGTCAATCAAATGGTCTCAACATTCAAACTGACACTGAGGCATTAAATTATGGTTAAATAGAAATTCTCAATAAGTTATAATATGTCTGTTTTTATAATTGACCGACAGGCTTCTGTTATGATACATCTCTTTTTGTTTTAACGGTTACTATGTGACATCGGAACAAACATGACAGTCTTTTTTGGATATTAAATTATTTTTTATCGAACATTGATGATCGTGAATCTCAAATTTGTTTAATGGATTGACGATGTTTGGATTCGCGTGCGATCATGTTGGAGGTGGAGTGAGTTTTTGCCATTATTTATAAATAACATAAAATTAATCTCTATCTGTTCAAAAAATCTTGATACAAATAATAGCTTGTGATCCACCATCTGCTCCACTCAGCTTTGCAAATGGTTGGCACAACATCAGACTATGTTGAGTAAGGTTGTTTCTCACCGCAATTCCACTGCGACTGCATAATTGGAGGGAACTACGATTTTGTGATACATAGGTCGACATAGTATTTAGCGCGATTAGCGGTAATTATTATTGAGGCTGGCACAAAACGTATAAGTCGAAACGTACAAATTTAATTTATTATTCACAATTAATTTTTGCGCAAGATAGCACCCAGCGCAGTCTCCTAACACCCAATTAAATTTCGCTATTAGATTTTATTGCATTAATTAAAGAAGTCTATAATTTTGTATATTTCACTACTTGAATTGTTTATTCGGCAATAAATTTTAGATCTTTATTTAAAGCAGAACAATCTACTAAAGCATCGAATGGATGAAAGGATTTGAGAAGAATTACATCGTCTGCATAAATGAAGAGATCGGAGGACAGAGAAACGTTAGACAAATCAGAGACAAAAATATTAAAAGTAAAACTACGAGAATGAACCCTGGAGTATTCCAGACAGAAGGATCATATATGAGGACTTGCTTGCGTGCGATTTGTAAGGAACGAGCAGTTTAGCGAGAGGCCGAATAAGATAGACTGCATAGCTTGAGTTTGATTGAAATTAGGTCATGGTTGAAGGTATCGAAAGACTTTTATAAATATTTTTCATAAATTTGTATTTGTCTATAATTGTGAATTTAAGACGCCTTTAATGCTCTCATTTAAAAATACAATTAAACAAATGATAAGTAATGTAAAAAGATCACGTATTAGTATATAGTGGCCGGGAGTATATTTTAATTTTTTACCTTAAAACGACAGATACTAATGAGAATTAATGTAATGGTGGCGGACAGTACGATATCTTCGAAGTATAATGTTTTATCTTTCTGGAAACCACTGATGAACAATGGATAGTAATAGAAGTACATAAGAAGGCTCCATTTGGCCAAAGCATACAGGTAAGAAATATATGTCCTAAGTTGTCCAACAGGATATTCAAATATGCTCAAATTGCAGAACACGCCGATGGTCATTAATGGTGCCAGCGCTCTTTCTAGTGTCTCTGTCATAGTTTCCGAGTGGTCGGCTAATATTTCAACTGAATTAGTTCTTGCTGCTCGAGACACAAACACGTTTTAATATTTTTTATAAGATTTTCAGAAATAGTTTTCACAGTTTCTCTAAGAACGTTGTGAGAACTACACTGTAAGATATGTACACTCGGAGATATAACGTATGTTAAATGCCGTTCAACCAACAAGTATTGAACAACGGAATAGACACACAGATAATCTAGATTAGATTGCATTTCTTTTTGCGGAATATTTATTCACGTGTTATTATGAGGGATAAATGATTATATACGCAATTATACTTATAACATTATGTCTTTATACTAGGTGCAAATGCGTTTAACGGATGCTTTTTACTCATATGGCTTCTAACGACACGTGTCGACTTGAGTTGAAGTTGATAACTTTAATAAAATATTTTATATATTGAAGTTATACGCACTTTCGGGAAAAAATATATTTTATATAATTATATATAGGTAGAAAATATAAAAAATGTAAATATAAAATTATATAAAAAATTGACATTTATTACATACAACTATATGTACGTAAGACAAGAATTTTGTAAATTCCAATCATTTTCAGAAACT